CTGTCTAAATTCCTACACTCACTTCTTTCTTTGTTACTAAAAGACTTTTGGCACTACCCCCCTGTTCCAATAAAACTTCTCTGCCTGTGTGTGTGTATATTGCCCTGTCTTTTGAAGTTGGTCCCTTTTGCTGGCTTTTAGATCTAATCTCTTGTTTATTACCCTTGGTGTCCCAGTGACCCCAAATTCCCTGGCCTCTTCAGCCAGGTGGTGATAATAAAGTATCTGTGGACCCTCCTTGTCAAAGCTGTAAACCTAATGAAATTCAGTGTTTTAGTGAACCAGTCCCCCTTTTGATGTTAATCAGTGCTCCAGTTGACTGACACAGTAAATACTGACCAGTGATTCAGTGAACACATAAGGTGACATGTAACTACATAAACATAACTGTAAAATTAAAGTAGGTAAACTTATGTGTGCTATAAACTAAATCTTAACTATGATAGAATAATCATACGCAAACAAAGTGAACACACAGGTTGACTAATCAACAAGCATAATGTTAATCTTCTACTGATTAAGTTCTTAATTCGATCAAATGTTAGAATCAACCTTAAAGTATGACTTTGTTAATAATTTTACCCAACATTTGCCTCTTAATTTTGCCCTGTATTTATTCTAGCCATGTGATGAGTGCTGGCTTCCTCCGCATTTGTCCTGCAAATCCCCCTTCTGCTAAAGACCGAAGCTTGGCTTCCTTAGTGCTCCTCCAACTGCTGTATTCTTTCTGGTCTCATATCTACATATTCTTTTCCCCTCCTCCTCCTTCTCCTTCTGTCTCTGTCTGGTCCTTTGCCTTCTGCTGATGTTGCTGTGTGTCAGACTCCTTCTGTGGGCCAAGCCCTTACAACACCACTCCTCTTTTCCATTCTGAGCCCTCTGCTGTAGCTGGTCTATACAGAGGTAGGTCCCCCAGGGTTCATCAAGGTGAGACAGGTCCTCCTCCGAAATCCAGCCTAATATGTCTGATATACCTTTCTTCTGTTTTGTGTTGTATATTTCTTTTGGACATGAAGTTTTGTTGTTGTTGTTTTTTTTTTTTTTCAGCAAAATTAGTGATCAAAAAAATATGTCCATGATCTAAAACAGATGGTGAATGTTGGAGTTTGGATTTCCATGTGCCTGCAATAATCTTTAGATTATTCTAACAACATACATCAGTGGTCACCTGTATAGAGCCTAGTAGTAAAGCAGCAGTAACCAGGACATGTTGTGTTGCGGTTGTTAATGTGAGATAGGACTGAATGATTAATGGCTTTCAAATTGAAATTGCAATGTAACAGTACATGATTTTCAAATGGCAAATTCTGAAATTTAAACTATTAAAATGCTTTTTTTAAGCACTACATATACTAAACAATCCAAGTAATGTCCCCACAGGCTTCAGGCGCACATACTCTGCCCTCCTTCGCAGGCCTTGTGAAACCCCCCTGAAGTAAATGAGAGTGGATGTAGAAAAATACACCAGTAAATTTCATTTTGGTGCTGATAGCTGCTCTGAAAATAGCCACAGCAGAAGCAAAATCAAACATCAGCAACAACAATCAAGAGACAACACTAACAAATTATTACCCTATTTTTGTGTGTTGCGGTTTTTAATAATTTGTTGCCTTTATGTAACGTTTTATTTTAAGACTAATGTTCTTTATGGGTTTTGATTCCTTACCTGACTCCAAAGGAGAGCTGCACAAGAATTCCTATATGCCTAGACTGTCAGTTTATGCATAAATGGCAAATAAAAATAAAAATCTTGACTTAACATAAATGACAAAGCAAAACAGTATGTTGGTTATTTGACGCTATTTTAATTTTAGACGAGAGGATGCATGACAGAAACATGCTAAGCATGCCTGGCTAAGGTAGTGACAATATGAGGCACAAATCCCCCCCGCCCCCGAACAGTACATTGGTCGTCTGGAACAGGTAATGTACTGACTGTTCCTGGCTAAGGTAGCAACGGTGAAGCAACACCACAGAATTATTCCAACATTTAAAACCCCACAACTACAGTTGTCACCTGTCTCTTTTAATACAGGATCATCCATTTTGATAAATACAATGCTCTCTTTGTTCCTTATTGGCTATATGAGAGTTTATAATTATAATGCTTAAATTGATGGTCTACAATGGCAAAGTCATCATCATACTAAGTAAAACTAAACCAGTTTAGAAAAGCTGTGAGATCAGAGGGCTAAAGACAGGCTGTCGTCTCTACACGTGTAGAGCAGCAGAGCCCACTGCGTGTTGCCTTCCTCACCTGGGCTCCCCTCCACTAACTGCACTGGTTCTGTCCTGTGGCTGTTTGTACTATTATCATCATTAAACACTGAAGCAGTGACTGTTGATGACTCACTTTACTTGAATAACACAGTTTAAAAATGTAAAATGTGGAAGAGAAAAAAGCTTTTTAAAAAAAGTTAAACGCTTAAAATAGTTCAATGCATCTACAGAAATAACTGTGCAGACAACAGAGTAAATCCTCTGTACCTGGACCATAGCTCCAGTGAGCCCAGTACAAACAGCAGTCAAGTTTTACAGCATAAAGGACTCAGAAGGAAGCTAGTCTGAGTTTATTTATCAGGGTGATGTTGGTATAGCTTAGTTTTCTTCTCTGGTTCCATCAGAAATTACTACTCAAAGTCTGTGATGAGCTCAGATCAGCAGAATTTGATGAATGAAGAAAGAAAAGAAAATATGCCTGTTCTGTATTTACTGCTGTGCTGTCCAGTTTGAATTCTGTCTCACACTCTCTAGCCTACAGCCAAAAATGAAAGTGAAAACTAGAAGTACAGTTGAGTACAAAGCAAACTGAACAGCAGTAAACCCGTTCTCAGCACCACCAGTGCATGTATGAGGATGTTGGGTTCATCCTCTGTCATTCATAGTGAAGTTTGTTTGCAGTGAATAAAACTGCCTATTACAATTAGATTTTTTTTCTAAATTGTTCAGCCTTGTGTGAGAGAGTAAGTGGACATTGGGAAGTAAGAAGTGTCCTGAGGCACTGAGCTATGTAAAAACACCACTGGTGTGTGAGCTTATATAGAAAAAAAATAGACAGGTCTTTTGAAAAGTCAATATATAAAGACAGTATATTGTACCTTGGATTGCGAGTATAATTCCTTCCGGTAATGTGCTCGTAATCCAAAGCACTCGTATATCAAAGTGAATTTACCCATAAGACATCATGGAAACTCAGATGATTCGTTCCACACCCACTTATCCATATAAAAATGATTACAGTAATACAAAATGGAGTATAAAGTAAAAATGAAACTAATTAACCTGCATTTTACCTTTGAAAAGAATCGTGGCTGGCGTGAGGGGCCATTGTTGCAGTACAGATATTGACTATACGAGTGAAGTGCGAGAACCATCAGCTCAGTTGCAATGTACGTCATATGACGCTCGGCAGACAAAGCGTACGTACTACTCGTATTGTGAGACCAAGCTTGTATATCAAATCAAACTTTTTTTGCTCATCTTGCAAAACACTCGCAAAACGGGCTACTCGCAATCCGAGGTTCTACTGTACTGTCAACCTTAACCTTTGCCCTAGTTACTAAACAAAAGTATTCTGTAATTAATCAACATGAATCCACAGCACTGGTCAGGATTGTTGCTTTATGGTAGCATCTAATGGCAGATTAAACTAACAAGTTCAGACTGTCATCTAAAAGTGAACAGCTTTATAAAAACATGATCAGGCAATGGTTTGACTGATTTGTCATTATTGTAGATGTAATGGTATATTTGGGCATAAAGGAGACACTAAATATTGTAAATATCATAGTTTTTAAAGTTGAATAGCAAAAGTAAATCATGTTTTTTCTGTTTTCCAAAATGTAAATGGAAGTTTCCAAATGTCAGAGATTTTTAGACTGAAAAGCAAGTGGTTTGTAAGCATATCACTGGTTCTAAAAGACAAAGTATTTTATGTTTTCTACCTCCTTTTGGCTGTTAGGAGGACCAGAGGTATAGTATCACTATTTGGGTCTTGACAGTTGACTTTCTTTTGGCCTCACCAGGGTTTACAGCCTCCCCAACACCTCAGAACTGTCAAGGCCTTAGCATCGACTTTGACTCAGTATTTGGCAGCAACACCAATGTCAACAACCTGGATTCTGCGGGTAAGTGTGTGTGCTCCTACATACACTGACACAACATTTTTTAATTCCCATTGCTTTTAAGAAGTGAGCAGGCCTCGTGCTCCTGCTGGAGGTTTGGCGGACAGATTGCACATTCACTGAGTCATGTGGAGGCTAAGGAAGATCAGTGTGCCAAACCAAAGAGAAATACTTCATCAGATTAAGTGACTTTTCTTATTATGAGTAGAAAATCCCCAGCTACAGTATCTTGTGGCAGTGGCTCTTCATTAGTTTATTTCTTTTGTGGACAAATTGATGAGAAGAGATTTTTTTTAACCACCAAAATTAAAGTGGCTGAGCCTGAAATGGTTTGTTTGCATTTATGCAGGGTTTGCATTGGTCTGTTTTGAAGTGTCCCATTGAAAAATAATGTGTTAAAGAGCCCGTGTTTGCTCATTTCTAGCCATTTAATGTTTAATCTTGAGTACCTCTAGATTAGTTTTGTACCCCTTGTAACTCCAAAGAGTCTGTAATTTCAGAGCGATAAAACCAGAGCCCTTTTCCTAAAAATGAGAGGATGGTTGGTGAACCCGCATACTTCCTGCTGCTGGTGTTGTCGAAAGTGCACGGCACAACAAACCACAACAGCATTAGTTAATCTGAATGTCTCCTCCATAGATAGGTAAACAACGGTATATGTACTGCTAAAAAAAGATGCGTAACAGTCTAAACAAAGTGGGTAACTGAGAAACCCCATATTTTAACTGGCATAATGCAGACATAGTAACTTCTCTAGCCTTACAACAATTCTAACGTTACAGAAACAAGGCATTAACAGACGCGCAACCTGTGGGGTGTTTTTGTTTGTTTTTTAACTTACCGTTAAGTCCCACTGAGCAGTGGAAACATCACTCCCTTTCATGTAGCTCCAAGGTCAGTAAATCCAACCGATTGTCACTGCGTCTTCCCCCACATGACCAAATACAGTCCCAAAGTAGTGAAATTAATTCTGACAGGTAACGTAGCACCGACAATAACGTCATGGGTCGTTAAGCTGCTCATTAACCAGCAACACATTACATGCAGCAGACACACTGGCCTCAAGCAGTCAAAACAAACAGGTACTGTGCTCCGGGGGAATCCAGTGTTGATGAGCTGATCATTCACTGCTATGGGGGCTTCACTGGCCGGCTGGTGGTAGGTTGGACTTGGTCAGGTAAAACAGTGAGTCCCTGTAGAGGAACATTCCACATGCAGTAACCCCAGGCCTTGTATTTTTCTCCACATCCACTGATCACAATGCAGACAGCAGGAGGGAAAATATATCCACAAAACTGGGTGCAGTTGAAAAATTCACCTTTTAAAATGGCATCAGTGAATGTCTTTTGTTTTTTTTTTGTTTTTTTTCTCCCTTTTCCATTATGGATTATTGAAATATACATAACAAACAAGGCGACATAACATTTTTCTAATATGGTGGGGGCACCGGTGGATGTCAGGCAAGCTCACATGAACGCGCAAGAGCCTGGAGTTTACGCCCATTCAAGGAAATCCTTGTATCATCACGAAATATTTTATTTTGTTAGAAAAAAAGTCTCGCAAGCAAGAGTTTGGAGACGTGTATAAAAACCCAGTTGCTTCTGCATAAAAATACTACAACATGCGTACACCAAATTTTTTTAGCTTTAGGTCGGGTCTAGGATGATGATTCATCATTGGAACATTGTAGATACATCAGAAAACAAGGAAAATCATGCCATGGGCTTTTTAAAGAAAACCTTTGCATTGGCTTAGTGAGAACATCTGTATGTATTGGCCAATCATTGAAGGTTTATGTACAGTGTTTTTATGTTATTTCTTTTTATTATTAAAATAGACCATTTTTTATTGGCCATTAAGCAATTTATTTCAATTCAGGTTTTCAAATAGCCGTGTTAACCCTGCACTCTGGTGAATTCAGGTTTTCTTTGATCAAGTGATTTGACTTCTAATTGACATGACTGCCCATTCCTCCTTCATAAACATGCTCAGTGGAACCTCTAACAGATATTTTTCCTGTCGTGTCAGCGTCTGCATATGCTAACTACACTTGGAATATTAATCATGCCTGATTAAACCCAGTTAGTCATGTAGCATCCAAAAATCACAGCAATTAGAGTTTCCTTAAGGTCAGAAAAATATTTTCTGATCATGAATTAGATTGTGTTATCTTCCCATTGCATACTGTAATTATAAGACAGGCATAGCTGGGAGGTAGCCCTTTCTGAAATATACTACTGAGCACATAAAGTCTTTAGCTTTACATATTTCCTCATGTGCCTAGTGCATTTGCCTTCTCATCAGTGTTTTTCAGTATGCACTGATAAGTCATGGGCTCTAAAGATCACAGATTGATTTGCGGTTTTTAAATACTTCAGTCTGTTGTGTGTATGTTTTAAAATCAAAATATACATTATGTAGGTTAGGTGTAACTGGGTTTTAAGGAAATCACAAACTGAGAATTTGGTCTTAATTTTGATAAACACTGTCACTAACATTACCACTGGATTGAGGTTTACAACTATTTCACCCTTTGCCTCATTATTGTAATTATGCCAAGGTATCATTATTAGTTTGGCAAGAATACATTGATTCTGAGTGCTGCGTTTAGAACCATAAATCTCTTACACACTTGTCTGTACACCCTCACTGGATTTTAGGCTGCTCACAATCTCACAACATCTTTCTCTTTTCCCTTGTTCTTGGGTTAAACACACTTCCTGGGGCCTTGGCTTTTTGCATGGCATATGCATGACTGGGTGAGTTGACTCAACATGTACTCCTCTCACACAGTACTGGCTTGATAGGGTGGGGTTCTGTGCGCCATGTTTACTTTTTCATCCGTGCTCAACATCCTCTCTCTATGTGTGTGCATTTTATGTGGTGTTATATGTTTGTCTTGGTGTGTTGTTTTGTTATTGTCTGTTGTATTGTGTCTTCAACTGTTCTGGGTCCCCCAACCCTCTTCCCCTCCTTTTCCTTCATCCTGCCCCCTTTTAATTAAGATGTTTTAGGTGGCATCCTCAAACCCACAGTGGCGTCTGCACCCAATGAAGACATGACCCCGAACAGCCAGCAGCCCAACAAACTGGTGTCCAATGATCTAGACTCCTCCCTGGCCAATCTTGTTGGCAGTAAGCACCCTCTTTTGAGACACTGAACATTGTACTAAAAGCAGATTATTTGATGATGTAATATTTGTACCTAACAGTAGCAGTAAAGAATAGTATAACTGACAAAATCATAGCATCAAAATAAAAAATGTATACGTAAAGCACATCGATCAGGCATAACATTATGACCACCTGTACAATTGTGTGCACTTCAGTGCAACACTTCTGCCTTAACATTTATGTTTATGAAGATCAAAATGTTTCATTTTTTGGTAAGATTGTCATAAATGTATAAATTCAATTATATGTTTAATAGTGAGGTAACAGTTAAAGGTGGTCTTGTACTGGACTACATTATGTTCAGAGGTGTCTCTATGTTTTTATCCTGCCCATTGACATATGTGAGAGGGGCAGAATATTAGGAACACCTCTGAATATAATGTAGTCCAGTACAACACCACCTTTAACTAGAACCTCAATAATGAACTTAAAACAGAATTTATACATTTATGACAATCTCACCAAAAACTGAAAGATTTTGAGTGTCATAAACATAAATGCTAAATCAGAACTGTTGCATTGAAGTGCATACAGATGTACAGGTGGTCATATTATGCCTGATCAGTGTATGTCAGATTTGCATAAATATTTTCATAATATTTTTTCTACATTGTCTTGTGTAAATTACGGGTATTGTTTTTTGTGACCATGTATTGATTACTTTGCTTCTGTCCTCTTTAGATCTTGGAATTGGTAACGGCACAGCAAAGAAGTAAGTGCACTCAACTAACAATACCCTCATGTCCCTGATATGACAGGCTGGCATACAGTCACTGTAAAGAAAAAGTACACCCTCCTTCAGTTCTATGTTTTTATTCATCAGGGGCTAAAAAACAATAGAGAATGTGAAGTTGTTGTCACACTGTGTTAAATTTTGGGTAAATGCACCATTTGGAGGGGGGGGATCACACTCATTATCTATCATACAGTTAAAAAAATATATATCTATATTCTCCCATACAGCTACATACATTATCGGGTGCTTCAGCTACATCCAAACTTCCACTTTAATGTTCAGTTTGAGCACAGACAGGACAGTGTTTCAAATACAGTGTTTGTTTGTTCTGCCGACAGCTGCTAGCTAGTGTTAGCTCCCAAACCAAGAGCTGAGATCAGGGTATGAGATCATTTTTCAGTCTTTCACTTTTGTCAGTGGGATCTCTAGGTCCACTACGAGTTGGCTACAGTCGGCTAAGGTTATCCATTCTGAATGGTCACAGTCAGTAAATTGAGATCTGAATGATTAAAGGAACTTTTTAGCCAAACAAAACAAAAATGCGTGCAGGTAAATGTAGCACCTCTCTCCCAAAGTGCCATGCACATCCCAACATTCAACACAGCATAACATGCCTTCACATTCTGTGTTGTATAGACCTCACCAAATTCTATAAACAAATAAAATAACCTCTGGTGACAACAAAAAAAAAAGATTTCACTATATGACTTTCCCAAAAGTAAACCAGCATTCAGAAACTAGGTGGGAAAATAAAAGTACACCCTTCCGAAGCATCAGTGTCCTTGAAGAGCTGAACATTTTGATACCTGAAATAGCTGAAAGTATGCTGAAGTAGAATTTTCCCATTCATTTGAATGGGGCAGAACTTTCAAAATAAAGCTAAATATTTCAAAAGTATGAAGTTTAGAAAAACTGTGAATAGAAGCATGAATGTCCTTGAAGAGCTGAACATTTTGATAGCTGAAATTATGCTGAAGTTGAATTTCCCCATTCATTTGACTGGGGCAAAACTGTCAGAATAAATGCTGAATATTTTCAAAAGTGTGAAAGTTGTAAAAAAGTTGAATATACATGATAATGTCCTGAAAAACCTGGACATTTTGATACTAGAATGGCATTTCTAGCTGAAAGTATACTGAACTTATTAAGATGTGAACATTTCCCCACAAAGTAGGTAAAACAAGTAGGGTTGTGTGTGTGTGTGTGTGTGTGTCTTTATATAGTTATGCAAACCAACCCCTGACGGAACACCTTTCTTGTGTGGACCTTTTGGGTGGTCCACATAAGGAAAATGCTAGGATAGGCTCCTTTCATCCTAAAGAATGATCTGTCTAAGTTTCAGAAGATGTCCACATACAGAGAGTAAAGTCAGAAAAATGTGTGCCAGCTTGTGCTCTAAAAGTATCATGCTCTGATTAAATACTGCTTAAGCTGAATTCATGCAATACTGCTGTGTCTTTAAAAGGGTGCAGACAGGGCAGCTTAGAAGTGGGCGGGAATCAAGCAATATTTATAACACCTGGAGCTTGAGGCTCACCTTCAGTTAATGTTGCATTAAATCAATGCCTCAACTCTGTGGAGACTGCGGTAGCACCACTATCGTTGTGCTGAGAGATACGACGAGGAGAGAACTGTGAAAGCTGAATTAGATGATGGGGAAAAAACCTGCAAATTATCCAGGTAAGATTTATGAAGTTAGTTAGTTGTTTTGGTTTGAAACTAAATTCTGGTTTAGTCCTCTGGCTCATTCTCCAGCATTAGTATTTGTGAAGCTATTAAGCTAATGTTTGCTTTGAGTTATTTCTTTAAATAGAGGCTCACAAGTTAAAGCTATTTAAACTCTGTCAGAATCCATTCCTGACCTGGAAAGTGAATATATCCCATCATCTGAAGAAGACCCCTGCAACACAAACAGCAATGATGGGAATCCTGATGACAGCGGCGACAATGAGGATGAGGGTAGGACAGTGGTTACAGTGAAAACTTGCCACAAGGTTCAAAGAAAGTGGGACAAGCATCATTACTGTGTATGCTGCAAAAAAAAACACAAAGTAAAATGCCATGGAATCTGAGGCGGAAACACAGCAGTGAAACAGAAGTGGCCCTAGCAATGTGTCTTCCATCAACATCAAAGAAGTGTCGCCAAACATTTGAGCAACTTCATAGGAAGGGAAATTATTGCCATAACATTGAGGTGTTGCAGAAAGGCGAGGGCGAGCTCGTAACCAAATGCAAGTAGCAATGTGTCTTCCATCAACATCAAAGAAGTGTCGCCAAACATTTGAGCAACTTCGTAGGAAGGGAAATTATTATCATAACATTGAGGTGTTGCAGAAGGGTGAGGGCGAGATAGTAACCTATAGACAGCCATCAAAACATGCAAATGCAGAAGATTATTTGCCATGCAACATTTGCTATGGGTTCTTCATAAAAGATGAACTATGGAAACATGAGAAATGGTGTCGCAGAGCAATGTTCGAGTCAGAAGTTAAATCCCAGAAAAAAAGAAGAGTTCAAGCTGCTGCCTCAGCTCTCCTTCCATACAAAGGACAGCCATCAGAAAGATGCTCAAACATTGTTAAGAGAATGGTAATTGACAAGGTGTCCCTTGAATTAAGACATGACCCTCTCACATGTGTATTTGGAGATAGACTGCTGGAGAAACACGGGAGTGATCGATCAAAAGATGGTCATGTCAGTCAAAAGATGAGAGAGTTGGGTAGATTTTTACTTGCTGCCAAGTCCCTTTACTGCGGAGTTGAGATGCTGCAAGATGTTTTTGTCCCACCTAAATTTTCTTTAGCTGTGCAAGCAGCAAAACAAGCCTCTGGGTTCACCAGCTCCAAGTACAGATATAACACACCATCTCTTGCTTTGAAGTTAGGACACTCGCTGAAGGCAGTATGTGACATTGTGATTGGGGATCATATAAAGGCTGAAAATGATGCAGCTGCAGGCAGAGTAAAGAGCTTCTTGGACTTAGTGGCAGCAGAATGGGACCTCTTTGTGTCACGCCGTGCATGAACAAACTTAGAAGAGGACAGATGGAACAAAAATGATCCCACTCACAGAAGATGTGATGAAGCTGCATCAAGTA